CACTAACTTGTTCACTGCATTTTTTTTTTTAATGTTTTATTTATTTCTAGGAGAGAGAGAGAGAGACAGCGTGAGCAAGGGAGGGTCAGAGAGAGAGGGAGTCACAGACTGAAACAGGCTCCAGGCTCTGAGCTGGCAGTCAGCACAGAGCCTGACGTGGGGCTCGAACCCACAAACCGCGAGATCATGACCTAAGCAAAGTCGGACGCTTAACCGACTAAGCCACCCAGGCGCCCCTCACTGCATTTTTTCTTAAAAATCTTCGCAATGAGGGGACACCTGGGGGGGTTCAGTCGGTTGAGCCTCCGACTTTCGGTTTCAGCTCAGGTCATAATCTCAAGGTTCTTGGGATCGAGCCCCATGTAGGGTCCTGGGCTGACAGCACAGAGCCTGCTTGGAATTCTCTCTCTCTCCCTCTCTTTCTGCCCCTCCCCTGCTGGTGCACATTTTCTCTCTCTTCCTCTCTCTCTCTCTCAAAATAAATAAATAAAAAATAAAACTTAAAAAAGCCTCTGAGGTGTAATTCACATACTGTGAACTGCACATACTGAAGGTGCACACGCTTTGATGATTTATTGGCAGATGTGTATGCTGTGAAACCACCGCGGCCAGATTGCAGATGCTTCCGTCAGCTGCAAGTGGGTTTCCTTGTGCAGGCGGCCAAGTTTATTTGAAAGCTTTTCTGTTTTGGGGGGGTGAGGCATTTGACCTCACCTAGAAGCCCAGGGCTTACTGTGTGGGGGTCACTGATTGTATTTAAGAAATCAACAGCAGCCCTCCAAATCCACCTCTTCCGCAAGGGAAAAAAAAAATCCCTTCCACCAACAAAAGACTTGCGACTTCCAGTGTGACTCACCCTCAGTCCTGGGGCACATACTCGGGCCCTGATAAGAGGCAGTCAATCTGTCCTCCGTTTGTTTATAATGAGTCATGCTGGAAACAGGCAGCTACTTTTCTTCTCTCCCATGTCATGGTTAGGCAAGAATCAGAGGCAGATACACCCCCATCCAAAGGGCAGTAGTGCTTAAAGCATACAGTGACTCTAGAGAAGCTAGTTTCAGGACCTGTGACTCGATGGGGACCCCTACTGGCGGAGACAGGGAGCGCCGCGGCCCGGAGGTGAGGCCTTGCTTCCAAGGACCAGTCTAGTTAGTTACAGATTTGTAAGAGGAACGGGAAGGAACGGCTGCGTTTTCTGTGCATCCTGCCCAGCCCCCAATTATTAGTGACAGAGCGGGGCGTGAGTCACAACCTTCAGCCTATGCCCATGCTGGAGCAATTAACCACATAATTGCTTCAGTGATGAACCTTCTTCCAGCTACAACCCGCCCCCACCCCCCCTACGTGGTCGGACTCTAGGCCCTGAGCCAGCCCTCTTGAGCCACATGAATTGGGAAGGCCCAGGTTCAGAAAGCCTAAGTTTCTTTTAGTCGATGCCTCCTTGGCTCTGATTGAAAATTGCTACGCACTAGTCCTGATGGGGGACACGGGGTTATTTCAATGAGAATTAATGTCCCGATCGAGTCAACATAAAGTCGATTTATCTGCTGTCTCCATGTATTGCGGCAAAGCACTCTGTTTGGGGAAGAAATCACCATAGCAACTCAGCCGCCCCAGTTACAGTAAGCTCAGCGCGACCAAAATAAAAATCCTTCCCAAGTCTCAGGATTGGCTGGTGGGAGCTGGTGAGCATCCACTTTGTTTTCAGATGACACTAGCCAGCATACATTTTGGTTTCATAAATCACTGCAAGGGATGCCTTAAGTAATAATAAAGCTCTCCAGCCAGGTTACAAATGGAGGGGGTTCTAGGCCATTCCCCCTCCAGTTTAAACACAAGCAGACCTCAGTGCCAAACAGCAGCGGTTGTTGTTAAAATAGAAGGTTTCCCAAAAGGGCTCCTTGTTACTTCTTGTGGCTTGACGGTTCCGTTCCAAGTTGGGGGTATATGGTACTATAAATGTTAAGTTTTAAGGAGAAGCAGATCAGGGGTGCCTGGGCAGCTCAGTCAGTTCAGCGTCTGACTCTTGGTTTTGGCTCAGGTCATGATCCCAGGATCCTGGGACTGAGCCCTGTGTGGGGCTCTGTGCTGAGCATGGAGCGTGCTTGCAATTCTCTCTCTCCCTTCCCTGCTTGTGCTCTTTACCGCTCTCTCTCTCTCAAACTGAAAAAAAAAAAAAGAGAGAGAGAGAGAGAGAGGCAAAATAGGCACAAAAAAATTTCTGTGGTTGTGAAAGGAAGAAAAATAAAATCACTCTTGTTTCCCTCCACCCTCAGGACCTCCAACAGTGACTTTTACTTCCATTAATCATCTGTCCTCTCCCTAGCATCTTCCTTATTTGTTTTTTTGTTTTTAATTTTTTTAACATTTATTCATTCTTTGAGAGATAGAGAGAGACAGAGCATGAGTGGGGGAGGGGCAGAGAGAGAGGGAGACACAGAATCCGAAGCAGGCTCCCAGGCTCTGGGCTGTCAGCACAGAGCCCGACACACGGCTTGAACTCATGAACCATGAGATCATGACTTGAGCTGAAGTTGGATGCCCAACCGACTGAGCCACCCAGGCGCCCACCATCTTGCTTTTTTGGCTCCACAGTGCTCCTTCCTCCTGATCACCAACACTGTTCTCTTTTTCTCCAGCCGCACCGTGCTCTGGCCTCCTCTGCACCCCCGTCTGGTGTGCGCCCTTGGGCTCCCTCAAACCGCTGCCCAGGATCACCTGGATGACTTCCCATCACAGTCTGAGGCCACCAGCGCATCCAAGTCCTAACCCTGTGGACTACTCCCTTGAAGTTCCCTGCTGCTTTAGATTCTGGTGGCTGTGAGCGATTCAGGATCTTCTAAGAGTCTGCCTTCTCTGTGTTCTCACCCCCAAGATTGGGGCATTATCTTTTCTTTTTTAAAAAAAATTTTTTTAATGTTTTATTTATTTCTGAGAGAGAGAGACAGCGTGAGCAGGGGAGGATCAGAGAGAGAGGGAGACACAGAATCGGAAACAGGCTACAGGCTCTAAGCTGTCAGCACAGAGCCCGACGTGGGGCTCGAACCCACGAACTGTGAAATCATGACCTGAGCCAAAGTCAGACGCTTAACCGACTGAGCCACCCAGGTGGACACTGGGGGCATTTTCTAATGTTCTCTTTCATACTTCTCTCTGTTAACTGTTTATCTGATGTCTTCGGCTCTCACTTCTGCACAGACGTCAACTGCACCCTGAAATGAGACTGTCTGCCTGACCATCGGCTATCTTGAAATCGACTTGGTTAAAACTGAACTTCACTCTCTTTCCCACATGATCAGGTCCTTCTACAGACTCTTTGGGTCTGTTCACAGCATCATTGTTTTCTGAGCCTAGACTTAAAGGCTATTGCTAGACTCCTTGGCATTGACTCTCTTTGCCATTCCACAGACTGCCCTTTGATGCCTCAATTTCTGTCCTTTCCATTTCCAAAGCTACAGTCTTAGTTCTGGCTGTCATTCTATATTGCTTGGGTTATTACAAAGCCTTCTGAAATGGTCTTTCCTCCTACGTAGCAAGGTGCCGCAGAAGGAAAGGAGGCTTTGGAGTTTGAGTCCCATCTTTTCTACGCCACTGTGACTTTAATTCCTTACTCTCTCAATCTTAGCTGCCTCATCGGCAAAGCAGGGATGATCCCTACTTCAGGGGTTGAGGACGTACTTGGGGTAAAGTACATAAAATATCTGGCACACTGGAAGTGCTCGATTAATACTGCCATTTCAAACTCGCTACTGCCAGGCTGTAGTTGTCACACAGACTTCTTGCTCACGCCCTTCCCTTATTTGAGCATTTCCTTTCCTGCCGAAATGAGAACTCCTCAAGTCTAGCGCTTGAGACCCCTAGCATATGTCTCCAGCGAATTGCCCCAACTCTGCTGTTCTCGACTCCACCTTTCAAACACCGCCACTTTCCCCATTTCTTTGCTAATACTCCAGACGTGGACATGCACGCACCGCCTGCATCTGCTGAGGCCATAGCTGTGCTGCAAGACTCATCTGGAGCTCTTTCTTGTCGCCGTGGCCATCCGGATCCCTACAGCCAGATACGACATCTTCCTCTGACCTCCAAAGCACTTCGACTTCTCTTGTGGCGTTTAATCACTTTACTCGCTTGGGTTCCTTCTCTGACTTGCCTTCACTGCAAGGCTGCATTGCAGAGACAGCCCTCTGCCCTGTGCAGGAAACGCCTTACCCCGAAAACGAAAACAAACCTGCCCCGTCATGCTTCCCTTAGTCCACTGAACTATCTACTGCCCTAAAGTTTCTGTCAGGCGTCGCCCTTCCAGAAACAAAGTTGCACAGAGAAGCAAATCTCTCAGTGAAAGGCATGCTCTCCCTGACACCACACTCTGTTGGGAAAGGGTCCCCAAACACCATCATCTTAAACATACTGAGCCGCCGTCTCATTAGACCTGGTCTATTTAGTATTTTTGTGAATCCCAGGAAACTCCCTTGGTGGAAATCACGGACTGATTTTGTTTACTGTCTCCCGGGCCCTTGGAGAGCTCTGTTCTTTGGCTGTAGAAATACCTTTCTCAGGCAAATGGATCCTTGGGAATACCCCAAATTCCTCTTCTTTCTCATTCATGAATCGGTCTCCTGAACACTCATAGTCAGGGGCTGCAGGGAAACAGAACTGAGATGAAATACTCAGTTAAGCTTTTGTAAACAGAGAAACGGGTCCATGAAGCCAGAATCTTAAAATGAGTCTATAGTTCTTAAATATTTGATCAACTTAGGGTCTGTCGTATTAACATCTTCGTATCAAAGTACAGTTCTTAAACACATATGTATATGTATTCATATGTATATTATCCATCTTCTAGTTTACACAGCTTGATTTTGGGATGAATGAGGCTGGAAATACGGTTTTATCGTCATATGGAAGCTCTTGTCGGCAACACCATTTGCAAAGCATAATTTTTTCAGAAACCTAGAAACATAACTTACACAAATAGAAACAATAGCAACAGAGGTCAAAGATTTTATTAGGTTCAATGCATGAGGAAACCAGTAAGATGTTAAGACGGATTTAAAAGAAAATTAAAGATCCCGAGATTCGTAGCTAGTCAAATGAATGTGGAAATGAAGTTGCTAATAAACGTAGAACTGGTTCATGTCCCACTAGGCAATAACCTTGCAACACTAGTGAACAGGAATCACTCGTATTGCTGTTGGGTTTTCTACAAGCTAACCTCTCTTCTCATAGAGTTGCGACACAGAGGTATGCAGCCGCAGCCGTGGAAAATCAGATAACCCCCAGGGAGCATATGCTACTAGATAACATCCAGCTCTTTTTAATTTTTTACTTTAAGTAGGCTTCGTGCCCAGCATGGAGCCCAACATGGAGCTTCAACTCACAACCCCAAGACCTAGAGTGGAATACTCCACTGACTGAGCGAGCCAGGCAGCCCAATGCCATCCAGTTTTATACAGAAAGGGTACCCAGTATTCTCTTTGACCTATTTCCAAATTTTACATACTTGCTTTTGACACTATTAACTAAGAGAGGCACGATTAACAAACCAATTTGCTTTTTCTGTGACATATTTGTAATTATTTGAAAGTGGACACAAGCCTCTCTTCCCCCATCACTCACCACCAGCGTTTCATCATGGGCTCTGGAGTCAGACTGGGTTCAAATCACGGTTCCATCATTTACTGCTGGGTGACCCAGGGCAAATGACTTAACCTCTCTGCTCTTCAGTTTGACCACTATAAAAGAGGTTTTTAAATAACAGCACCTTTGTCATGGTCATGGAAATTAAAGGAGATCATGCACAAGGGCTCAGTAAATGTGAATTATATCACTGCTGCTGAGAAAGGGTTAATTATTCCACCAGTGTCTTCAGTCCAGTATTAAAACATTTTGCGAAATAATCTGTCTTACACCTTGTTACAAATGGATTTTAAGTTCAAGGTTTTAAGGCGGAATCGAAAACAATGAAATCAGGGGCGCCTGAGTGGCTCAGTGGGTTGAGCTTGACTTTGGCTCACGTCATGATCTCACAGTTCGTGGGTTTGAGCCCCGCGTTGGGCTCTGTGATGACAGCTCAGAGTCTGGGGCCTGCTTCAGATTCTGTGTCTCCCTCTCTCTCTCTGACCCTGTCCTGCTTATGCTGTCTCTCTCTCTCTCAGAAATAAAACATTTAAAAAAAAATTTTTTTTAAAAAGAAAACGAAATCATCAAAATGAACCAATTAGTAAGCTAATTAAATAATAATTAAACATAAGAGGTTACAATAAATTCTAGATGTATTGCAATGATAACTTACTTTCAACTCTGATGCTGAAGGAACAAAGACGTATTAGTCAGGGGCAGCAGGAAATTAATCTCTGTTGAGTTAACATGTTCCAGGCATTGTGTTTAGCACGTATTCATTACACGCCAACAAACGAGTGTTTTCGGGAGAATAGTCTCCCCCCACCCCCCCACTTAAGGAAATACGCACAAAATAAAAGGCAGTAAGGGAAAAATAAACGAAAAGAAAAATGTGCTGTAGTCTTAGAAAGTGGGGTTGTCACGCAAGTCAAATGCAGAAGCAAGGGTTTGTGATCATTTATTGTGCACAACGAAAAGGAAAGCACATTAAATATTCTCTTAGTTTTCAGTGATAGTTACCAACATGTTGGTAAGAGCGACGCTGGGAATACATGTCCTTTCACTATACGTTGCTATTTTTATTTTGCCCACAGAATGCTGAGGAAAACACGGAATAAATACACATTTTATTAAACACACACGTGCACACGCGCGCACACACACACACACACACACCTCTTGTTACAAATTGATATGAATCAGTTATGTCTCCCTTCCATCCAAACGTTGGTTTACATACCCTTAAAGTTAAATAAAAAACCAACAGCAGGGGTGTGGCCCACTAAAAACCTGTGGATAAAGTCGGTTAAGTACAGAAGTTCAGCACCGGGCAGGACGTAGCAATAAACAAAAATAGAAAGCAAAATAATGAAGAAAAATGACAACCCGGGTGTTGAAGTCTGGATACATTTTAAAGTATTCGAGACTGTGAAAATAACTTCTTCTAAACTGCTGGGTTTTAGGAGGATGTTTCTGGGCTAAACCGAACACAAAAGAGAGGAGAATTTTCCTAAAGAAGTTTTCTGAGCCAGAAGAAAATCAAATTATGCTTGAAAAACAAAAGCAAAGACTAGTAACAGTCTGCCTCTCTGACCCCACCCACGTCTTCGAACTGACTTCAGGGTTCGCTTTCTTGCCAGAGGCCATTTATTAATTCTGTACTCCGTTATCTCAACACAACCAAATCGAGACTTAACCCTCTGTGTCCCGATCAGTTGCTGAATGGGACAATTATTTTCAGTCCCTCACGCGCTGGGAAGCTGCCTTCTGGACGTACTCTAACATACAGGGACACACGGACTCCTAAGCCTCAGACCAAAGGAGTGGGGACTTCTTGCCGAGAGAATATTCTTTATGGCTGCTATTAAAAATCATCTCTTCATGTATAATTGTTAAAAAATATCAAGAAGCACTATGATTAAAGCAAACAACATCAAGAGTGCTTTCTCTCCTATTTCATATGTGCTGGTTTTTAATTTTTTTCATATTTTATTTCATTTTTTGTTTCTAAAGATTTTTTTTTTAATATTTATTTGTATTTGAGAGAGAGAGAAAGAGAGAGAGCACGAGGTAGAGAGGGACAGAGATGGAGACAGAATCCAAAGCAGGCTCCAGGCTCTGAGCTGCCAGCACAGAGCCCAACACAGGGCTCGAACCCACAAGCCATGAGTCATGACCCGAGCCGAAGTCTGACGCTCAACCGACTGAGCCACTCAGGCGCCCCACGCTGACTTTTTATGCAAAAAACTTGTAAAATAGAATAATGTTGATCTTGGGTTTTTAAAAAAAGGTTTTGAAAAATGCTAAGCGTGAGTTCATACATAAACTGGATATTTACTATTTCAAAAGAAAAAAAGGCAAAGGTGACAATATGATGCTGGAAAATAAAGCGATACGTTAATTTCACAAATTCATGCATTAGTCCCTTGGCCCAAGATCCTTAGGTTGTACAAATGTGTCAGAGGACATTTTTGTGATAAATGTGGTAAGAGGGAACACATGATGACTGTACTGAAGGTTTCCCACAACTAGACGCGCATTAAGATGTATTTCCTTAGGGGAAGGGAAGGGGCCAGAGAGCCTTGCATCCATAATGAGCACTTTTGAGTTCATTAGAAACTATCACCCATAAATCAAATACACATGACACAGCACGCCTGTCTTCAAGGGTCCAGTTCATCCAACAGCAAATAACAATCTGAGAGCCAGGAGACACAGGCACTCTAAATACAATTAAGACTGTTATCTATGCCGTACCAGATAACAAGGGCTGTTTAAAATGGTAGCTTCAGGACTAGGGCTTGTTTCTGAAGACTTCTATTGGACGGAAACCCGTATCAAAAACTGTGCTATGTTCGGATTTGCCTTTTATGTAATGGAAGAACAGTATAAGGCAGGTGGGATTACACAAGAAGAAAACAAAAATAGCGATTTCATATGCCACAAGCAGAAGGGCTAGGGCTGGGCGAAGAAAAATCGTTAATAGCCATTTCCATTTGGGGCGAGATGTCTATTTTAATATACTTTTAACTCTGACTGGACTCCTTAAAAAATACATAATGTTCCCAACATTTTGTTTTCTATTCTCAAGGGTGTATATTTCTTTTAATGTTAATTTACTTTTGAGAGAGAAAGAGAGACGGACCACAAGCAGGGAAGGGGCAGACAGAGAGGGAGACACAGAATGTGATGCAGGCTCCAGGCTCTGGGCCGTCAGCCCAGAGCCTGACGCAGGGCTCGAACCCATGAACTGTGAGATCATGACCTGAGCCAAAGTTGGTGGCTTAACCACCTGAGCCACTCAGGCACCCCTCAAGGGTGTATTTTTTAACGCAGGGGAAAAAAATGAGTAGCCCAACTATATATTCTACCTTAAACTAATTTTTGTTTCCTGTCTTCTTCTCCATTCCTCAGATCACCATACAGTTCCATGTAACAATACGGTTCCTTGATATCCCTCAATTCATTCTTGTGCCACCCTTGCACAGAGTTGGAAATCCACGTCTACTTTAACAGTATTAACACATTAACGTACGGAGAGATCAAGATGTCAATGTGAGTGGTTCAGCTTGGAGGTAGGTGGAAAGAACGCCTGTGGAGGTGAAGACCACTCAGTGTTACGTGGCCCAGTGTCTACTGGGAGCTAAAACACCGTGACAAACAAAAACATGGCCAACACTGAAAACGTGAAACTGTGCGGTATGGCTGGTGGCACGGATGTTTATATCCTCATCAGCTCTTGAGGTAGAAGATTGTCTCCTCGTTACTAGATGTGTGAATGATACCGAAGTTAGTAATGTTGAAATAGAAAAGTTTAAAACTGCACAGAGGGGCTACGGATGTCCTGTATGTTCACTTCAGTAAAAAGCTAACCTAACCCAACAGGAAGGTTTGAGAAGGAGATGGTTTTGTTGAGTTTTTAAGCATGTAAATATTTCTCTAAAACTCTTACATATTCTATGTGCTGATCTTTCATTTACTCATAATTCCTTGATCTCCACTCCAAGAAGGAAAACCAAATCTTAAAGACTTGGTGGGCCACTCATTTGCTTGTACGTGGGTCTTCACACAGACACAAGCAAGCACACTGGCCCAGGGACACAGAGAGGGAAGAGGGTGAGCTTACGCCCCTTACGTAAGCTCACGTGAGCTTACGTGTGGAGAGGATCTGGCACTGGTGGTCTCAGGGCATGTGAAGGGAGGCTTGGGGGAAAGAGGAAGTCTTAAGAGACTCTAACCAGCCATTTGGGCTCAGAAATCTCTGAGATTTAGGGGCGATGACTGCACAACATCTCAGGAGTCCTGAGTGTCCTCAGGACTCCATCACCTACACTACCCAATTCTGGAGACAACAATTCATTTCATGTTTAAAAACTACTGGCTTTGCACAGTCGAGTTGTGGTGTGTGTTACAATATTCAAGGGATGAGGAATGAACCAGCTAGTTTCAGACGTGGCCGTCTTCCATCTCACGTGAGTACGAGGAAGTCCCCCTGGGTTTTTCTTAGAGGCTGAAAGGTGGAAGCATGTATCAGAGGGAAATATGGGGAGAACTGGTGACGAATGGCAGACAAGGTTCCTTCCCGGTGTTCCGGGGCCCATCTTGAAGAGGGCAGGAACTTGGTAGTGTGATTTGTTGGCCTGTGTAGGAAACACGAATTGCTGCTTGTGTTAAAAACGGCCTCTTGTAACCCCCCAGAGGCGCCTCACTGGATTCTGACACCTGACGGAAGGGCAGGACATGCGGAGTCTGGCCCCAACAGACAGTACAGGGAGGGAGGCAGGCAAGGGCAAGTTAGAACCAGCACCTAAATGCAAAGTCCAGAGGGGAGCCTCGGCTCCTGGCCCACTGACCCCGGAAGCGGACCGCACGGTCGTTGGGTGCTGAAAGAGAGTGAATTCATCGCAACCTATTCATTCTGGCACAGGGTGGCTGGAATGGAAAGCTCAGCCACGGGTAAGACAATGGCCACCCTTGTTCATTTCCTCATTTTACCTTTCGACACAACCTCGGCATAAGGGGTGTGGATGAAGTCATAGAGCTGTTTCGCGTTCGAGGCATTGCCCAGGACACCTGCCAGCTCGTCTTGGGACAGGCTTGCTAGCTCCGCGATGTTCTTGACGTGGTGCATCAAGGCGCGACAGTTTTTGGCATTGACCCCCGGCATTTTTAACAAGAAGTCTTGGGGGCCAGGATTATACTTCTCTGACTCTGGGAGGGTTTCCGAATCCGCTGTGACGGCCATGGCCGTGGCCGCATCGGGCTGTGGCTTGTTCTGTTTCAGCTCCTCGAACAACTCGGCGGTGGCGTGGGGCGAGGGGCACCAGAGGATCCGGAGTCTGGGGAAGTGAAGCGTGAGGAGGGTGAGTTTGGAACTGATGTCACTGCTGGAGATCTCCTGGTGGAAGGCGCCTCGGGACGTGAGCGAGAAGGACTTGCTGGGGTCAAACTCAATCAGGAGCACCGGGCGCTTGTAGTAGCGGGACATGGAGATACACTGGCCGTAGAGGCGGCCGTTGTTCAAAGAGCCAATCAAATCACTGATGCTCTTGCGCTCCACGCACATTTCTGGGGTCAGAATGTAGTCTCCGACCTCCAGAGTCACTGGTTCAATGTCAATGCCCCGACGGTGGATCAAAGACGGGAGTTCGCTGCGGAACTCACGCATGTCCACAACTATGCTTTGCTGCGTGCCGTTCTGTTCCTGGCCACCTGTTAAGAGAAGGTGGCACGTTAGGTGATGTCACTGAGGACAAACTCTCAAAGACAGATTGGAATAATTAAAGGTTAAAATCTGGGTTTCTGTTGCTAACCTCAGATGCACCGTAATATAATACCTCATGTTTATTCCTCATCTTTCTGTATTTTCAGAAAGGTCTGTTTACAAGGTCTTAAAGGGAAATTTTCTCTTAAACTCAACAGAGCTAATCGGAAAAGTCATGATGACTCTTGAACACCAGCATCCCTGTTGCCTTCCCTCTGCCGCCCCCCTCTACAAGTGGCCCCTGATGGGGGCACACGGCCGCACTCTACTCCTAATTCCTACCCAGCACGTGCTGGCTGCCTGAAAAGGCTTGTTGAGTAAACTGCTTCATAAGCTGCTGTGAGAGACTTTGGAGCCGTTAGTGCTCATACCAGTGAGTCCGGAGGTGGGGAAAATGGAAGAAGCTGGGAAAAACCAGAAGCCGTGGATCAGAACTCACATTCGAATGTGCACAGAAACGGCCTGGGAGCAAGTTAAAGGCGGCTCTGTATTCAGTGGGTCCAGGGTAGGGCCCAAGACTCTGCGTTTCTAATGAGATCGCAGGTGGTGCTAAGGATGCTAGCTCAAAGACTATACTCGGAAGGGCCAGAGGCTGCTGCAGGCAGAACAGTGGCCCCTTTAAGATGCCCACGTCTGAATCCTGGGAATCTGTAAATATATTGCCTTACGTGATAAAGGGGACATATGCAAATATGATTAATTTAAGGGTCTCAACATTGGGAGATTATTCTGGATTATCCAGGAGCACCTGAAGAGTCCTTACAAGTGAAACAGGGACGCAGGAAGGTCAGAGTCAGAGGCATTGTCTTTGAAGGTGGAGGAAGGGCCAGGAGCCAAGGAGTACAGGTGCTCTAGAGAGTGGGAAGGGCGCAGAGACAGGGTCTCCCCTGGAGCCTCCCGGGGGAGCACAGCCAGCCTACACTTTGGTTTTAGCCTAGTGAAACCCATTTGGACTCTGGAATTTTAAGAAAATAATTGTTAAGATAATAAATATAGATGTGCAGGGGCACCTGGGGGGCTCAGTTAGTTAAGTGTCTGACTTCAGCTCAGGTCATGATCTCATGGTTTGTGGGTTCAAGCCCTGTGTCGGGCTCTGTGCTGACAGCTCGGAGCCTGGAGCCTGCTTTGGATTCTGTGTCTCCCTCCCTCTCTTCCCCTTACCCACTCGTGCTCTGTCTCTCCCTCAAAAATAAATAAATATTTTTAAAAATGTGTATTATTTCAAGCCACTGGGTTTCTGGCAAGTAGCTGGAGGACACGAATACGAGGGACTGGAGGACTGAACTCAGAAGGACGGACTTCTGTCAACAGCGTCCTGCGTGGCGTCTACACATGCTCAAATCTCGTTTCCTTCGCAGGGCCTGATCTTCGGGAGCTCTGCATGAAATGTCACCAACCTGAGTTAACAAGAATCTTCTTCAAAAAAGACATAAATGCTCTGAGGCCAGGTTTCCCAAGTAGGGTCCCAGGACCATTCCCATAAGGAGGCCCTGAGATGCTGACCCTGGTCCAGACCCACAGAGTCAGAGTTATCATGGACCCGCAGCTTCGACAGCCTCTGAGGCTATTCCCGCAGACACCGAAGTCTGGAGGCCGCCGCTCTAACCAGCCGCCTCCGGACGCTAATAAGTCAACTCCGTCGCATTGCTTTCCTCACACCACCTGGCGGACAGCCGCTGCCACCAGGGGGAAATGGGGACTTGGGGAGGGGGGCGGGGTTGTTCCTGGGTCACACTGGCACTCGGAATTCGGCAGGTCATGCTGGAACGCCACAGTGCAGACCGCGATGAGGGCGCCGTATGCCTGGGTTCTGGAGACGGGCCAAGGAGCCACACGCGGACACAGTGCTGCCTACCTGTGAGTTACACCGGCTTCTCTGGGTAAAGAACAGAACCTACATGCTACTTACACACAAGAAACAAAGGTTTCTTTGTGTAAGTGCATTCTGGACCTCAGCCCATGACATTTACGAGCACCGCTGGCAGTGTGACGGATTCCAAGGCTGGGGTGTCTAGGACACAGCCCACTTATTTGACAGATGAGCACAGCTGCGGCCTGGGAGGGACCCGTGGTTAGCGAATGGCAGCGTGGGCACTGGGTATGGGAGCAGGCAGCCATCTGTATGAAGTTGCTGAGAACCTCACCTCTGTGGAGACAGTCTGGAACCCCACAGCCCCCTTTAAGGCGATGGGAGTGCCTGGCAAAGGGCAGGACTCACCTGCTTTACGAGTGTCGGTGGACGTGCCTGCGGACAGGGAGCCTCTCACCAGATCCAGGTTCCCCTCATCTCTCCCTTCTCTCCCTTCAGGGACAACCATGCTCGCCTTCTCCCTGGAGTGGAAGATATTTTAAACATTTTTTTCAACTTCAAAATTCCAGATTTTAGACTTTCATACGTTATAAGATAGAAAACGATCTGCGCGACTACAGTGGCAGAGAGAACACAAGAAACACGTGAGAGCCACAAGCACAGTAAATACACACGGACGAGGGACGGGCAAAGGAAGGAGAAAAGAGTTTCTTGGTTGGGTTCTACTTCTGATCTTCTGGAGTTACAAAAGCTGTTGTTTTATCTTCCATTCTGTGCCTCCTTCAAGCGCTTTGAGACATGAAATACGCACATAGGGGCACCTGGGTGGCTCAGTCTGTTAAGTGTCCAACTTCAGCTCAGGTCACGATCTCGCGGTTGGCGAGTTCAGGCCCCGTGTCTTGCTCTGTGCTGACAGCTCAGAGCCTGGAGCCTGCTTTGGATTCTGTGTCTCCCTCTCTCTCTTCCCCTCCCCCCACTTACACTCTGTCTCTTTCTCTCAAAAATAAATAAACATTAAAAATTAAAAAAAAAAAGAAATAAGCACGTAAAAAATGCCACAGAGAGAAGGAGACTTTTTATAAAAATGTGCGAACGTGTTACTGAGCATTAAGACTAATTCAAACCATTTATAGTCCAAATACTTGCAGAGTCAATCATAGGTAGACATTGTTAAAAATCAGTGATTAAGAAAATGAAAGCACAGATGATACAACTATGATTTAAAATAACAGGCAGGGGGCCCCATTGAACCCTTTCAATTTTACAAGAGAATCCAGAGTAATACGAATTTCCAACAGAGATTTCAACACAAACATCAACATCTTGGGTGACGCAACAGAGCAGCACGGATTCATTCGCTCGTGCGTTTGCTGAAAAACCTTTCCAGAGTGCTCCTTCCTACCTGCTGTGCTGGGTGCTTCGGATATAAATATGCTTACACAATAATTCCTGTCTTCAAGGTAGCTCAGGATCTCACAGCTGGTAGACGGAGAGGACCGTACTATCCTAACTAAGATTTGCGGTCGGGAAGTACGATCATGACAATGACGACATCCTCAATTACCAAAGAAAGACGGGCCAGGTTTGCCACAGTCTTATTTTTCAGAACCAGTCAAGTCTGTTATAGTCAATTCATGAGCCAGCAAGTGCTATGTGTCTGACTAGTGCTGGGAACGGCAGAAAGGGTGTACGAGGCTGGGTCTCTTCCCTCGTAAGGCTGGAAAAGGAGTCAAGGAAACAGAGCAAGCGTGAAACAACAGTGAAACTGACCAAGGGCGGTCACAGAGCTCAGCGTTATGGTGAAACAAACAGAAGGGGGATATTCAGTGCCCACTGATAATTTCAGGAAGGGCTGGAACAGCAAAGATTTTCCAATGAAAGGAAATAAAACCAGATGGACCAATTTTACAACCAGCTCTGGATAAATGATGTTTTAAGACAGGGTGACCCCTATAAGACACCACCAAAGAACAGAAATCACAATTTTAAATTCTACACCCTTTGAAGCAATATACAAAGTTATTATTAGTACAGCATTTATAGATAGATCCCGCCAGGAGGCGGCCACAGTACCAGTTCCATTTCTCCTCCTGACTCTCAAAACCAGTGTCAAGTGTGGCCCCGCTCATTCCCGACAGCCACTCATTACTGCTCCATGATACCTCAACTAGACTCTAGTTGAGGACAAAGGGCAAACTATTCAGAAAAATTATTGGTCTTCGACTTCTTCTTTAACATTTGGGATTAATATTAGGGATTTTTTTTCTCTTTATTTCCACTTACTTCACCGGCTAAGCTACACATCACACATGGGGGCATCCCAGTTTTCTGATTAATTTGTAGTCTGTGAGCCGCTGTATAGCAGGCATAGTGGGGTCAGTGTATGAACCCGTGTTTTGTGTTTCTGAAACCATTCACTGGCCGTGCGGTCTTAGGCAAGTAGTTTAATGGCTCTGTGCCTCAATTTCATCTGTAAAATGGGGACAGTAATAAAACCTACCTTAAAAGAGGCATGTTAGGAGGATTACCCATCATATGTCAGGTAATCAGAAGAGCGCCTGGCAGGTAATAAGCATTATAAAATGTTAGCTGCTATTATAACTGTACTTTTCTTAGAATGTGGTAAGCTCATCCCCTAATTATCCATGATAATGCTAAAACACTGGAGAGTTGCTTTCAAATGATTCCACAAGGGTTTCAATTACTATTGTTCTGTAAAAACAGCTAGTTTATCATGAAATGTTGTACGGCAAGTGCAAATTCAATCTGAGAAAAAATAAGCTCCTGAAATGAAGCCTGGATTGTAAGGAAAATAATAAGTCTCCCTCAAATAAACAGAAATCTGCCATAATTCTAAATATTCACTTCTTTATATTCAACATTTAGCATGATTACCCAAGTTGTTCCATACGACAGACAGAAAATAATTCCAAGTGCAGATTTCTATTCCCATGTAATCTAAAGTACTAAGGTTTCTTCTTTTTACTTTAACATCTTTAATGATATCTGAATAGCTGTATAACGTGAACATGCAGGGAGGGGGTGCTGATCTAGAAGTCTCTTCCAATGAGGATGTATTCTGGCCTTCATGCTAACTCACCCTGGGATCACGAGCTATTCAAATAACCTTACCCCTGCCTCTGCAAAGCAGTGACCTCTCCAAACTAGGGCTGCTCGGAATGTTACAGCCAATTTTTCAACCTGGGGAGCATTTTATTATCAATACTTAGGAGTGCTTTTTTTCCCCCCCTCTCTTGTGATCAGTAACCCACTGATCTTGCCCGGACAAGCCATCCGTTCACTGCCAGTTTGCCAGATTCATTCCTTTCTGGTTGTTTTAAATAGCAGCACCGCTTCTATTCTTACAACATCACCCACGGAGGTCCTGGCAAAAGCACATTGTCTTTCTCTCACATTAAATTTCTCGGTGCGGGCTCAGTGCAAATGGTCTTTCAGCACCACACCTCGTATATATTTTCTTTTTCAAAACAAACACATCTCAGATTCCCCAAGTTTTCTGGGAAAGTAAATATCTTGAGACTCTAGACGGTATAACTTTCTGATTGCTTTGTAATACGGGAAGATCTAACTGCTAATAAGTAGACAATCACCATTGAAAGTGAGGAGATTAAGCCGGACCATAGATAAAATTTCATTAAAACCTGATATGGAAACGATCGTGTAGACGGAAATGTAGAGGACAGTCCGTATTCCGGATTCTGCCAGATGGCTTTCAGTATGTGCCTGGCTTACCCACATCGTGTCACCGAGCCCTCTGAGATGGAGGCTCACAGGAATAGCATGGGGTCCTCGGTACCTTGCCACAACCTACTGAAAGTACTCTCTTCTAGATGAGGTTCCCCGATGTATTAAACAAGAGGCAGCCTGGAGTGTGAAAACTCACCCACTCAGGTGCCTTCTTCTCCCACATTCCAGCAGGCTCCTGTGGCTCCCATGCTGCAGGGAGGGCCCAGTCTCCTGAGGACTGGCCCTTGCCCAGCTTCTGGGAGATGAGCTCTGAACCCTTGGAATCGTCTGCCTGATCAAAGGTTTTGCACGCCTGAGGCCTGGGCTGGCTCGGATGCTTTATGCTAACAACTTGAGGTATGGGAAATACCTGTTTTTGCTCTGGGGGCAGGAGAACTACGGTCGTGGCGGGTATACTCTGTGTGTACGTGACTGGTCCCCAGGACACACCCTGGGCCCCAAGGCTCTGGTCAGCCTCCCCTTGACAACCCTTGGCACGTGCCGTCACACGTGGCAGCTGGGAGAATGAAGCACATCTGTGTGACTCCGCAGGGAGGGGACACCTGGGGGCTTCTGCCCGGTTTTTCCTGGACTCCGCCCTGTGGGTTCTTATCCTCTGATTTTAATCTGTAACCTTTTGCTGTAATAAACCGTAACTGTGAAGATAAAAGTTTTTCTGGCTCCTGGGGGTCCTCTGGTGGATCCCTGAGCCTGAGGGCGGTCTCGCAGACCCCCACACAGACACCAGTAACCTAATCCGAATGATCTTAGCTCTGTGTGCTCATGTGTGACCTGGTGACCACTAACCAGGGAACGCGCTGGCAGGGGATGTTTTAAAAAGAGTGAAGGAACCGTTAGGAGGTACCGACCCACATCCAGTAGCACTGACTCCGGTTCCATCTCCTGCAAATCTGAAATCTGTTCCCTTCCCCTCGTCAGCCTAATCTTGGCTACCACCTTTTCTCCTGACTCGCTTCTCCGCTCCATCCATTCCTCAGTTGGATGCCAGAGACAGCGTCTAAAAATAGACTTCCCACTTAGAACGCTGTGGTGCTGCCTCAGTGCCGCCACAGTCACGCCGTGGAACCTCACCAGGGCTTCCTGTATCTCAGAGCCCTCAGGCACACTCCCCACCATCCTGTCGGCTTAGCACTGCGGGCACGTTCTTCACACGTCGGCTCACGGCTCACACTCACGTCTCCAGCAAAGCCACCCGCGCTCCCCACGCCGGGCCCGGTCTCTCTGACACCCACTAGCACATCTGTCCTTTCACCTCTGCGGCCAGGCTCTGTACAGGCCTACTTAGTTGATATTCACGGCCACTTAACGTTTGTCTTTTCCACCAGAGGATGAGCTTGAGCAGGGCAAGGACTTCCGGCCCCACTGTGACTACAGCATTTTCACACCAGCACAGGGCCCGGCACTAAGAGACACTCGATCCACGTCTGTGGGTGGTTTTGAGTTGTGGGGGAGCGAGGGGCTAGAAGGCACAGAGGCAGCGCTAAAAGCTTTGGACAGGAAGAGGTAGCCTCTTTAATACCTAGTTGGTTGTCACACTTTCTGAAATAATTTTTCAAAAAATGTACATACACACATTAAAACACCACACAGAGCCTGGTAACAGGAAACACTTTCATCGGCGGAAAGGACCGGGCAGAAGCTGGAAGAATCCATGGCCAAGGCAGATCATACTCCCAGAGGATTTGGAGGCGGGGAAAGGGTACCCCGTGTAATGAGCTGAGCCCCCCTACACGGACCTGGGGGGCACGGATTCAGTAAGCACCCATTTCCAAGAAAGCACGGCCCGGATGAAGTGGAGTATGGGGACACCTCTCGTGTATACTGAGAGCCCACAGCCCATGTCAGAGGAAGGTTGTCCATTTTGAAATTCGCGGGGAGCCCCGGTGGGCTGACAGTCCCTAACAACGACTTCTGCCCTCTCGCTGCCACCAATACGTTGCCAATGTCTGAGGCTTGGACGACTGGTCAGTCCAAGCCACGTCCCCTCTGGGCTAGGCTTTTCTCTAGCTCGGCTCAAGGATGCCCCATCTAGCCGCTGCCCCGACTTATGAGGCCCCTCAGAGATGAGGCGGCCCCTCTTCCGTCACCAAGCCACTATCTCCTTGACAGCCACCCCTGGTGCAAGGTTATCAGATTTCCTAAACACCTGCAGGGGTGAAAGGTAGCGGACCAGTCTGTGTGTACCTCACTTAGACCATCGGCCTTACGTTACACGGAAGAGCATTTTCAATTTGGATTCGGCACGCTGCCAGACGCTCATCCTAAAAACCATACACATATGTTCGCATAGACACCACACCTTCAAAAAACAAAATGTCTTCCTGGGGGGATTCTACTGCTGGGGATCTGAACTGACGAAGCTGTAAAAGCATTTCCCAGCAAATGAGGAAGGCCGTCGCCCACCCACAGACCATGGAAATTTTACAAGGAGAAACTAAATCATAACTCCAAGGCAAAGGAGAAATCTTGTGCGTGGGGGTACAGGAGACTGAAGAACGTCATTTCTTAGGAAAGTAGGGGTCGAGCTGTATTTTTAGTGTCTTACGCTGCACGTCTTTACGAGGAGAGAAGCCAGTCTCCCTGAATTTCCAATATTCTGTTAAACTACTAAAAGGCAACTGGAGATGGAGAAGAAAGAAGAAAGGTGTTTGTACCCCGGGGATGAATCAGACCCCAGGTTTATCTCGACACGATTCCCCCAGGTCATTCCCTCTCCATCTTTCCTGAGGACGATTATGCTCTGCCCCCACCCAGAGAAGCCCCTATATCTTGAAAGCTCCCATGTATTACCTTATAAGTTTTTCAAAAGCCTCCTTTTCCTTCCGCAAAGCAGTGAGATAGCGCTGTTCTTCCGTTGAACCTCCATATATAAGGAAGTAAACCCTGCCAGTGAAAACAGAACTCTTTTAGGCTGTAAAAACTTAATTTTTAATTCCCAAAAGGAAGAGCACAGCATAGCATTCGAGATCAGCAATCTAGAGCATTCCAATAATAAATATCTGATTGAGAATAAAAGGCTCCATTAACCACGCACCTAAAGCGAAGCTGCCTAAACCCCCACCTGTTAAAAGTCTTATCACCATATTTTCCCCTCTTTGTGGAAAGGAGGAACAGAATTTAGGTAAGCACTGAAATATAACTAAAGGGAGAGAGTAATTCTTGCCTCAGAACTATAAACAAATCAGAAAACACAAAATCTCGGCGGCTTCTCTTTTATCAGATTTTTCTTTACCCCTCTGCCAAACAACGATTTGAAAAGCTGGCTGGTAGTTATAAAAGCAGCTTGTGAAAGTTCATGCCAGCGAGAAATAAACACATGAAATCGATATGGCCTTTATCTTCTTTCTCGGTTCTTTTGTACCCAGGTCTTAACAGAACCGAGTCAGCACACGTTTTATAGAAACACATGGGCAGAGAAGACATATGGATGATATCAGGATCAAGACAATAATTCAATATATTGTTTCTCCTAGAAAGAGCCATTTTCTATCTTGTTTGTTGCTAAGAGGCTGAATGAAGCACCTCGTCAGTTCCCTTTTTTAGCCTTCGGCTTTTCTTTCGGATGTCATACTCCTAGGTTGTATTTCTTTGAAGTGTGGACCGATTAAAAAAAAAAAAAAAGGTTGGACAATGAGTCGAGACCTCAGCTCTCCCCCAGAAGTAGTACATGGCCAAGGGCAAGTCATTCATCACTTCTGTGCCTCAGTTTCCCACTGATGGAGACAGCAGTGGAACTCCAAGGGCCCTTCCAATTCTGACATTGTGTTCCCAAATATCATACTGGTCCATTCTCAGGCAACAAAGAACTGCAGTGCACAAGCTATCCACACACCTGATCAACAGCAAAGTATGAAAAATTTACCAGCCTGTAATTATTTGGCCAGCTTCATCTAATCTCTTCATCCTGTGTTATTTCTGACCCACCTGCTCCATTCATCTCTGCTTGGGAAGGCTGTGTTAGTTAAACTGCTAGGAAGGTTTCTTTTGGCTCTGTTTTTGGTTCAGACTGAGTTCAGGATATTAATTTTGCTGTTTATTTCCCTCAGATAATTGGAGGGCCAGAACACTATATTCTTTGAGAGGCATCATTTTCTCAATCTGATATTTCTGTAGATTTTTTTTATCTGCTATTTCTTGAAACTCAAGAAAACCTAGTACAATAATTCCCCAAACAGTTTCGTTTTATGTGGATGTAACTCCAGAGTCACTTCTTCAAATTTATTAGGATGACCTTTCAGAAGATTGACATTATGGCGGTGAGTCATAACTACAGTAATTTTTGGTGGAAATCTGGATATTATAAATTTCCTGGATTTGTTCAGAGGCAGCGTACCCCATAAGCTACAACCAATGCATACGGCACACAGCACGGAACAGCAGGGCAGTATGTAACGGGAATGTGAATAATTCCCTAGATTCGTTGTTCTGTTGGATATCTCCCATCATTCCTGTGCAAACTTCCCAGATTGGTCAGAAAGCGAAATAAGGTTTCATAAACTTCACCTGCCCCCACCCCCCCACCTCCGGCAATGAGGACAACGGAATGTCAAAGACAATGCATGTGTAGCTGGTGTGGCGTCTGTGTTACAGCCCCAAGAACCGTGAGACTGAAGCCTTTAAGAAACAGCTCAAAGGACGGAATATTACTTGGCCACGAAAAAGAACAAAATCTTGCCAACTGCCGCAATGTGGGTGGACCTCAAGGGCACTGTGCTAAGCGAATAAGCCAGACAGAGAAAGACAAATAAATACTGTATGACTTCACGTAGAAGTGGAATCTACAGGGGCGCCTGGGTGGCTTAGTCGGTTAAGCGGCCGACTTTCGCTTAGGTCATGATCTCGCGGTTCGTGGGTTCGAGCCCCGCATCGGGCTCTGTGCTGACTGCCAGCTCAGAGCCTGGAGCCTGTTTCAGTCTGTGACTCCCTCTCTCTCTGACCCTCCCCTGCTCACGCTCTCTCTCTCCTAGAANTCGGGCTCTGTGCTGACGGCCAGCTCAGAGCCTGGAGCCTGTTTCAGTCTGTGACTCCCTCTCTCTCTGACCCTCCCCTGCTCACGCTCTCTCTCTCCTAGAAATAAATAAAAATACTTAAAAAAAAAAAAAAGTGGAATCTACAAAAAGAAATGAACCAACAACAGAGACAAGGAGACTCAGAGAACACAGCGATGCTCACCAAAGGGGAGCGGGGGGTGAGGAGAATGGGTGAAGGGGACGAAGAGCTACAAACTCATAAAATCAATAAGCCGCGGGGCTGAAAAGTACAGCGTTTGGAGTATTGTCGATGACACTGTAACACGCTTATCATGGCAGCATTTTGTAATGTCTGTACCGGCCCGATCGCGATGCCGTCCGCCGGAAACTGATCAAACCCTGCAGGCGGCCATGCTTGTTACAAAAACATACCCGTGTGTACCTCAGAATCGAGGGGAAAGCGCTCGTGCTCTCTGGGACTTGCCTGAGAGGCCTCCCCGGCCGGCCGGCGCGGTAAATCTCAAGCTGGCGAACGAACGTCAGCTCGGCGTCGTACAGAACCACGTAGCGCGGCTCGAGCTCGTGCAGCACCCGCGTCAGCGCGTAGGGGTCGCTGCAGCCCAGCAGCGGGTGGATGACGGTGAGCGGGTCTCTCAGGATCCCGTAAGCGGCGTCGGACGACACGTTGACAGCCGGCTCCTCGTGCTGGAATTCTTCCAAGGGGCTTTCGGGGCCGCTGCCCGCGTCCCCAGGACAGCCCTCCGTGGCGCCCCCCCCCGCTTCCGGTCCCTGAGCCTTGCCCAGCATCTGAGTTAACGTTAACCGGCGCTGCTTCCGGGCAGCGCGTTCTCTGGCGGCGGCCCTCCGCCCGGCGTGCGCGTCTTTAGGCCTTTTGTTCGATTTCGCCGCCCTCTTCGCATCGTCCTCGTTCCTAAGTTTCGCCCACACGTCGTCGGCCTCGCTGTCCTTCTCAAAGGTCTTCCGGTAGAGCCGCAACAGGAAGGCCTCTGCCCCGACGGCGATGTACTCCCTCAGCTGGGAGCACGTCCGCTCGTCACTTGCGCAGATCAGGACCTGACCTGAAATTGCACGAGGGCCTGAAGTGACCATTGCCTCGCGCGCCCCCACCCCGGTCTCCATCCGCCCGCTCGCCTCCTCCCGCCGCAGAGAAGACCCATCCTCCCCCTTGGCGCTAAGGATGCAGCATTTACAATGTGTTTAAAAAGGGTCTCAGATGCTTATCAAATGCTTTCCCTCTGACGGGATTAGTGAAATCTTTTGAGTAAAGCTGAAGCCAGAAACATTGAGTCTTGGGAAAGCAGAGCCGTGGTATAATGAAGGCTTTGCAGAAGCTCTTTTTAATTAATAATTTTCCAGAGGATTTTATATACCAAAATAAATTCCAAATGGATTACAGAGTCAAATGGTAAATATTAAATCATTTTTTAAAAAAAGATGACTATTCTCCATGTCTCTGGATGGAGACGATTTTCTAGGCTTAAAAACAGTGCAAGCACTCTCAGAGAAGACTGATACCTATAATTTGAGATGGACTCTATATAAGAAAAAAACTGCATTAAGAAAGCTAAAGACAGAAAAACAACTTTACAGAACTGTCATAAATGACAGCATCTTTAATATATAAAAAGTCGATACAAACTGAGGACATACCCTAATTTGGCCACGGAAAAGAAAGACAATTCACAAAAGAGGAAAAAGCGTTAGGGAAACACTGAGCTTGGGGCGCCTGGGTGACTCAGTCGTTAAGTGTCCGACTTCCGCTCAGGTCATGATCTCGAAGTTTGAGGGCTCGAGCCCTGCGTCAGGCTCTGTGCTGACAGCTCATAGCCTAGAGCCTGCTTCCAATTCTGTGTCTCCCTTTCTCTCTGCTCCTTTTCTGCTCGTACTCTGTCTCTCTCTCAAAAATAAACACTAAAATAATTTTTGTAATTAAAAAAGAAACCATCGAGCTTACCAAACACCAAATTTCAAATAAATAATTGTCTCCAAATTAATACAGTTGTTATACATATTTATGTATACATGCACACGAATACAGTATCTCCAGTCACTGTCTGCTAAGTGAGAAATCGATGAGCTCTTACATTGCTAAAAGAAATGAAAATTCATACAAATTCCGTGTAAGTCAAATGCGGTAATATGTCTCAAGAACGTTATCATTTGACTTGCTAATTATATATCCAGAAATTACATCTGCACTGTGACCTTAACAATGTGAAACAGAAAATACAGAAAAGAAAACCTAGAGGAAATACCCTAATGTGGCTTCTAGACATAACTTTTTTCCTTCTCTTTCTTCTTCATACTTTTCAATTCTCCTAAGGGGGCAGGCCTGACTTGGGGTCTTAAATCACAGCACCATACATTCTCAGATAATATCACAAGTGTATTTACTAATATAAGAATTATTTCCCTTTACTGATTCATAGGAGTTCAAAGTCTCAACTGGTTAAAAAAAAATCTAGTTTTTCTTAAATATTTGGTTTTGGGGTACCTGGGTGGCTCAGTTGATTAAGCATCTGACTTTGGCTCAGGTCATGATCTCACAGTTGGTGGATTCAAGCCCCACATCAGGTTCTATGCTGACAGCTTAGAGCCTGGAGCCTGTTTCCGATTCTCTGTCTCCCTCTCTCTCTGCCCCTCCCCTGCTCATGCTCTGTCTCTCAAAAACAAATAAACCTTAAAAAAATTTTTTGATATCTTGCTTTTATTTTTTTTTTTAAATAAAAATTTTAACAGGTTTGGTCTTCCGTGCTAACCTAGTAGTATACTCATGCTTGGAGAGAGTGGCCCTAAAATCTGGAATTTTTTTTTCAGGGCCAGGTCAGTGTCACTCCCTAGAACAGTTACATCTTTGGAAAGGCACCTGCTGAGAGTACAAAGCAAGCCAATTAGCTTTCTTCTGGGGGATTCTAGATTGAAACGGTGGTGAATCTGTAGGTGGAGATTTAGCTGCATTTTTACGCTGACGTCTGAGAAGTCCACCAGCAAAGCCCCCTGCTTTCGGGAGCATACAAGGGTTCAGCCAGGAGACAATCACATCAGAGCGACAGAGGACAGACAGGAGGCTGCCAGGAGGATTTCCGTGGTCATCTGGCATTTACTCTCTTACATTTTATAAGCAAAGTAACAGTAAGTTACCTTTAAAGTATTCATAACCAAGACTCATTTGCTCCATTTTGAAAGCAAACGTCATCACCTCGTTTTTCCTACCTGGACCACCAAGAGCTTCACTTTCCTTATTTTCTGCCTCAATTTCTTTCAGCACTTCAGTTAGAGCTTCCCACTTCGGGTTGCTTTCCAGGACCAATTCCTTTTTTGTTTCTGTAGAGGAATAAAAGGATAACCTCATTGTATGGGGTAATATTTACCCGCGGAGTGTTCCCCAGGCTTTCAAAACAGCAGATAACAGAAGCATCAATCCAAAAGCCTGTTCCTTTGAGCTACCTTCCTTCTTTTTTTTTTTTTTAATTTACTTCTGAGAGAGAGAGAGAGAGAAGCGTGAGCAGGGGAGGGTCAGAAAGAGAGGGAGATACAGAATCTGAAACAGGCTCCAGGCTCTGGGCTGGCAGTCAGCACAGAGCCCGACACGGGGCTTGAACCCACGAACCGTGAGATCATGACCTGAGCCGAAGTCAGATGCTTAACCGACTGAGCCACCCAGGTGCCCCTTAGAGCTTCCTTCCTGATGCCAGATAGAAACTACTTTCTTGAAAAAGGTCTCTTTAAGGTCTAAATAGAAGATGCTTCAAATCAACATTAATAGAGGTTTCACAGTGGGGTTCCTGGGGGTTTCAGTCAGTTGAGCATCCAACTCAGGTCAGGATCTCACGGTTCATGGGTTCGAGCCCACATCAGACTCTGCACTGACAGCATGGAGCTTGCATGGGATTCTCTCTCTCCCTTTTTCTCTGCCCCTCCCCATCTTGGATGCATGCTCTCTCTCAAAATAAATAAATAAAACTAAAAGAATTTTTTAAAAAATAGAGGTTTCATAGTGCCTTGAGAGAAAGTTACACGTATGGTCATGAATTTTGAGATGGTTCTGTATTAGTTGTCAACCATGCCACTATATATAAGGTGCCAGATAAGATGAAAGAATTAGTACAGAGGAAGAGTATTTATTATTTCTAAAACCCCATAACTTTCACAATCTTGAAAATGGAATACAAGGAGATAGCAATCAATCATTTCTGTAAGTACTCAAACGCATCACTAACATATTTAAGTTTTGAACTAGACCTTGGAACTAGGCAGAAAGCATCAATCCTATCCCGTGCTTAAAAAAAAAAAAAAAAAACCAATGGTATTTATTATACCCACTAGATAAGTATTGGAATAAACCCATTCTTGCCTCATTCTGGTATATTTACTTTTGTACAGCTACAAGGAATGTTAAATATTCTGTTAAGGCTTTAAGTGCCAAAAGCAGTTATTATTCTGAAGTTAAAAAAAAATGTATCAATCTATAGTTCTTATGTAGCAGTAAGAACACTCTCGATTGCTATCTGGCACTTGTTATTTGGAATCCTCCCACAACGGATTCTAAGACTTGCCAAACTGGATACTTTCAACATACAGTCACACGTAACATACCTTTAACATACAAACACACATTTTTCACATGGCTGAGGGATACTGAGGATTACACATTGACTTGGTACGAATTTTCACACCAAATACTTAAATAAAAGACACAGTTAAAGATGAAGCCTACAAGGTACCTTGCACTTCTTTAATTTCCATTTTTTCAGACATTTTGCTTTTTTTGTTCATTTTGGAATCTGGAAGATGATAAACCCTTGCTCGAGCATTAACAAACATCGAGGTGCTGGAGTCAAGAAAGAGCCAACCTGATATGAAAAATTAAAAAAAAAAAAGCCTTCAATTTAGGCAGAATTGTAAAGACTCTCTGTTGGTCACGTGCCCTATATATACAACTGCCCGCCATCTTGTTCTCCTCTGAACCACACCTTCTCCTTTACTGAGGCCTCAATCACAGTTTGGTTAGACCAGTGGGCTTTCAAAGTGGGGCCTACTGACCCTTGGGAGTCACCAAAATGTATTCAGGGGGTCCGGACCTCAAAACTATTCTCATACAAATACTAACTCATTGCTTGATTTTTTTCCCCACTGTGTTGACATTTCCGATAACGGTGCGAAAGCATCGGTGGGTAACACTGCGGGTGCCTGAGCATAATCAAGGCAGTGGAACCAAAGTGTACGAGTAGTCAATGTATTTTTCATTGCTATGCATTCATAGCTTATTACTTAAGGTCTCTGATGAAGCAATGAAAACAATTAATTGCAGGAGTGCCTGAGTGGCTCAGCTGGTTGAGTGTCTGACTCCATATTTCTGCTCAGGTCATGATCTTGAGGTTGTGGGACTGAGCCCCGCATCAGGCTCTGCACTGAGCGTGGAGCCTGCTTAATGTTCTCTCTCTCTCTCTCTCTCTCTCTCTCTGACCCCTTTCCCTGCTTGCTTTCTCTCTCTCTCTCTCAAATAAAATAAAATAATTTTTAAGAGTTAAAAAAATCATTAATTGTATTAAATCTTGGCCTCAGAGGGCAATGGACCCCACTTTGAAAAGCAATGGTCTAGCTGAACAGTGACAGAGGTCACAATAGTGGGGGCAGAGGCGGCTGGTAGAAAAAAAAGATGGCAGCCAACTGTGTAAGTTTGGTTCCCTACAAATCTCTTCAGTCTTCAGCACCTGAGCCGATGAAACTCTAAACTCCCTTGCTGTTTCTTTGGAGAAAATGAATCTGAAGTTCTCAACAGCTAAACTTCCAGAACACAACCTATTTCTAAGCTGGGGACTGCCTGTGATATACAGAGTCTTTTCTAGAAATAAAACTGCCCGGAATGGATATGAATATTTATTATTATGCAGAACAGAAGTTAAGTAGGCGGAAACATTAGCTATCAATAAAACCTACACCCTTATGCTATGAACATAAAACGTAATTTCAAATCTTCGTAGACCATGTAGTTGAATATAGCACTCCCCACATTTGATTCCCCAACAAAATCCAACACTTTATTCAAATCAGCTCCCATAATAATATTAGTATTTTTATCTCCCACCTGAATTCTGACCAAAAGCTTTCTCTGTCGCTCTCAGAGATTCCAGAAGATTAAGGAATGTGATACAATCATACTGAGAGAGATATTGCAGCAAAGTTCGTAATATCTTCAAATCCTGAACCAAGGACTTAGTCTTGGCTCCAAGCTGGTGCCACATGGGATCCAGATAATGGCGGATTGTCTAAAACAAGAATACAGTTTAGTATTGCTAAAAATATATTCAATATAGTTATTATTTTTTTTAAGTTTTTGTGTTTATTATTTGAGAGAGACAGAGTGAGTGCACATGAGCAGGGGAGAGGCAGAGAGAGAAGGAAACGGAGAAAGAGAATCCGTCGCTGTTGGTGCTGAGCCTGATGCAGGGCTTGAACTCATAAACCATGAGATCATGACCGGAGCCAAAGTCAGACGCTTAACTGACTGAGCTACCTGGGTGTTCCCACTCATTTGTTTTTACGAAATATCAAAGCACACAGCTTAGACCCACCCAGTTTCTGCCAAGTTTGGCCTGTGACCCTATCCTGGATACATAAAGGTGTGGGATCCAGTTGGACAGGGAACAGAGAACACATACCAAGAAAAATATATGGTATCAAATTAAATAACAATGTACCTTAACTTGGTGCTATAAATGATTTGTTTAGGGTTTTTTTTCCCCCAATGTGATTCACAGATGGGAACGTATTTGTTAAATTAACAAGGGACTACATCTGAATATTTTTTGAGACCCAAAATGTTGCCTAAAATGAAGGACAGCTTTGTAGGTCTATACCTATCATGTAGGTATCTACATATTCACAGCTATATACATATATACATACATATATATACACACACATGTCCTTCACAAACGGATTCTTTTTTTTTAATGTGTATTTATTTTTTTGAGAGAGACAGAGTGGAAGCAGGGGAGGGGCAGAGAGAGAGGGAGACACAGAATCTGAAGCAGGCTCCAGGCTCTGAGCTGTCAGCACAGAGCCTGACGCGGGGCTTGAACCCTTGAACAGCTGGATCATGACCTGGGCTCAGGTCAGACACTTAACTGACTGAGCCACCCAGGTGCCACCACAAACTGATCCTTAACTAAAAAGGATAATACTTGTAGCATAATGTGGAAGCAGTATCACTACACAGCATCTTATATAAGGAATTTAATACTCAGCAGGAATAATATCAGGATGACTGTATAATTTATTGTCCAAATGGGGCTCTTGTAAAAATGAAATTATATTATTAATAATCACTCCAGGACAACAGGTAGATTCTGGAACTGCCCTAGACAAACTGGAACATATAACTGCATGCCTGCTTGGGAAAATAATCTACAAAAGTTACATTTTCCGGGCGCCTGCGTGGTTCAGTCAGTCGAGCGTCCGACTCTTGATTTCTGCCCAGGTCATGATCCCAGGGTTGTGGGATCAAGCCCCATTCAGTGTAAAGCCTGCTTAAGATTCATTCTCTCTCTCTCTCTCCCTCTCTCTCTCTCTTCCCCCCTTCTCTCTCACTCATGCTCTCACTCTCTCTCTTTAAAAAAAAGTTCTTTTTCTGGGGCGCTTTTTCTGGAGTATATGACTTCGGCTCAGGTCATGATCTTGCAGTTCATGAGTTCGAGCCCCACTTTGGGCTCTTTGCTGACAGCTCAGAGCCTAGAGCCTGCTTTGGATTCTGTGTCTCCCTCTCTCTCTGCCCCTCCCCTGCTCACGCTCTGTCTCTGTCTCTCAAAAATAAATAAACGTTAAAACATTTTTTTAAATAAAAGATAAAAAAGACAAAAAATGTTAATTTTCTAACAACATGCAAGTTATGTCTGCATTTACGTCTGGTTGAGGAAAAAATATCCAACTTAATACTCTGACCTTTACTAGCTAGGGAATGAGAAACAGAAACTTAGTACAAAACATATCAGGCTAATTTTGTTTTTTAATAAGGACACATACATTCTATTAAAAGAATGGGAAGGGGTTTTTTTGTGGTTTTTCTTTGTGGCTTCATATGCTCTAAACCTTATGAACACAGGAATGAAACATACGTGATTCGTTTTATGTATCATTATTTTAGTAAAATGACTTTCTGGAAGAATCAGAGATATGAGGAGTTAAATTTTCCTTTCGGATAATCACTGTGCGTTATTTCCAGTGACATAGAGATGGATTCAGAATTTAAAAGATAGGAATTTATTCCACCAAAAAACAGAAAAACAAAAAAGCCGCCTGGAAATTTATTAAAAGTTGGCATTTTCTAGATCTATAATTCAATCTTAGACATTTATACATCCGTATTAATATTCACCTCTGATTTAAAAAAGGCAGTTGGAATAAAAGTTCCTTGGACTAAAAGTCTCACCATTTTCTAAATTGAAAATATAAGTTTAGTAGGACAGAGTAAAGTTCACATTCCTCAGTAATGAAAACTCATCCCAATTATTTTTATTCCAAACAAAAGATCATGAATTATGAAGCATTGTTATGTAAAACTCTTCTATCTATAGATATCCAATTGCTGTCATTTCAGAGCAAAAAGGTTATTTTTCCTTCCCTTAATTATACTTAAAATACAAGATAATTACTCTATAACTGCAAAAAATAAGAGTTGTGCTTATCGATCAGCCCATGTATTCTATTATAAATTATTACTCTCCAGTAAACCAAATTTAAATCACCTCCAGATTAATCTTAAAATAACAATTTCCAGGATGCCTGAGTGGCTCAGTTGGTTAAATGTCTGACTTTAGCTCAGGTCATGATCTCTCAGTTCACGAGTTCGAGGCCCGCATCAGGCTCTGTGCTGACAGCCCAGAGCCTGGAGCCTGCTTCCAATTCTGTGTCTCCCTCTTTCTCTCTTCCCCCCCCCCCCTTACTCTGTCTGTCTGTCTCTCTCTCTCTCAAAAATACATTTTAAAAAACATAAAAAAATAATAACAGCAATTTCCTATTAAGGACACTGCAATTACCAAATAACTTGGGCTCTTTAAATCCGTAACCTAACATACTGTGCTTACAAGGAAAAAAAGAGGCAGAGTACCTTGTCAAAGGGTTTTCCAATAGCATTTTCTAAAGACAAATCTTCAACTTCGAGCGATGGGTTGTGGCACTTTAGTTCTTTGAGACACGCGTTTAAGATGTCCAGGATGGCGGTCTGTATGGCGAGCATGGCGGGCGTCATAGACACGTGAATTTCCACAACTTCAGGTTTGTGCTGCTCTAAGAAGGAGTTTACGGCTACGTGGAACCTACAGAGACAAACCGTTTCCAAGTGTTTTCTCGAGACCAGAAATAACACGGCTCTCGGTTTCTGCTCTCACAGTGTTTTTGGAAATGCAGTGAAGACACAAACCAAACAGACAGCAAAATGACAATGTTTTCAGAAGCACTTTAAGTCTCAAAGATTGGATGTATTCGTTGAATAAGGCGGGGGCCAGCAAAAATATGGTCTGGGCCCAAAGCAGGGCCTGTTTGTATTTTTTTAATGTTTGTTCATTTTTGAGAGAGAGAGACAGCATGAGCAGGGGAGGGGCAGAGAGAGAGGGAGACACAGGATCGGAAGCAGGCTCCAGGCTCTGAGGTGTCAGCACAGAGCCCAACGCGGGGCTCGAACCCACAATCTGTGAGACCATGACCTGAGCCGAAGTCGGACGCTTAACCGACTGAGCCACCCAGGTGCCCCCTGCTTTTTTTTCCTCTTCCAGCGCCTGTTTTTAGAAATAGTCTTACTGGAACACAGCCGTGCCCAGGAGGCTGGTGTTGTCCATGGCTGCTCTCCTGCCCTAACAGCACACGGAACCACTGTCACAAACCACATGGCCTGCGAAGCCCAAAATATTTAGCATCTGGCTCTTCACAGAAAAAGAATGCCGATCCTTGAGACAGCATAATCACAAAGGAGAAAGACCCTGGCAATTACTCTTAAATGAAATGTAGTGTAACCAAAATACTATTAGCACAGGCTACGAGATGTTTGAACATTGAAACCTACCGGATTTGCCTAGACATTTATGTAAAGTCTTCAAAAATCTTTGTGCTCTGAGGCGCCTGGGTGGCTCAGTCGGTTAAGCATCTGACTTCGGCTCATGATCTCGTGGTTCATGAGTTCAAGCCCCGCGTCGGGCTCTGTGCTGACAGCTCAGAGCCTGGAGCCTGCTTCGGAGTCTGTCTCCCTCTCTCTGCCCCTCCCCTGCTCGTGCTCTGTCCCTCTCCGTCTCTCAAAAATAAATAAACATTTAAAAAATTAAAAAAAAATCTTTGTGCTTCATTCCTCAATGGGTAATTTTCAAAGTAGGAGTCTCGGCCGGTAAATAGGTAGTTCACCTAAACCTGCGTATACGCGAGGCTCTAGATTCCCTAAGAGTTTTGCTAGAAGCGGCAATACAGTGGCTGCCCTTAGATGGATTTGATGGGCTACCAGAAAAGGAACTACCAAATCTCTCTCTCCTTTTAAAATAATCACAAATGTGGTGACCATATGTTTCTGTTTGAGGCACTTGCTTTGGACCCGGCTATCCGACGTCAAGCGCAATTCCGATAAATTTTACATCATTTTAAGGTGCACACTTAAGTCACAGTGGATTCTCTCACAGAAATTTGTCACATAATGCTATTTACCTTGGCCACAGGTACAGCTTTCCGACGAAAAGATTTCTCATCACTCTTTCCACATGACAAAAACCAGTGTCAAAGGCGACAGCATTGTCTGTGAAAGCTTTAATAAAACCACGCTTGTTTTTCTGGCGAAACAGACGCAAGATGAATGCTTCTTGACAAGACTCGATTATCCTGTGGGCTCTGTACACCAAGATGCCTGAGAGGAGATTATAACTTAGATTCCAGAACAGACAGGGAAGTTCATGCTCGTTTTCATTCACTGATTTCACCACATTTCTCTCGAGCACAGGCAGGTGCTCGTCCGGGCCAGAGATAGAGCAGTGAACATACAGACGTAAACCCATGCCCTCACAGTATTTGCAATACACGATATGAACACAGAGACGATCTAGTAAGTTACAGAGTGATTAGGGCTGGGGAGGAAAAAATGAATCCGAGAAGGAGGAGAGGGAGTGTGTGTGAGAGGTGATGGTGGGCAACTTTAGAAAAGTGGCCTCACTGAGGCTCGATCTGGGCCAAGGCAAAATGGAAATGAGGAGGTGAGCCTTGTGACCACATGTACCAAGACTGTCTGTTCCAGGCTGAGGGGACAAGAAGAGCAAAGGCCCTGGGGTGGGGTGTGTCTGGTAGGGTGGAGGAAGAATTTCTGAAAGCGAAGTTGCTCACTAACTCTCTTTTCATATGGGGACCAGATGTGAACTCCATAAAATACAACCTTTTCAGAAGTCTGGGTGACATCCGCACCACCCACTAGAATAATTCAGCTTTTGGAATCAGAGTATATTCAACCGAGAGATAAATTAGCCCATTAAAATAAAGACCTTTAATGAATATATTTACTACATCTGTGTTTTGGGGTGGTGTGATTAGGACACTTTTGAGATCACAAAAACAAGGACAATTATTATATGTTTCCTTATTTATAAAATCAGAGTACTGACCAGATGATCTTTCTTAGGTGTCTATGATACAGTCACAGGACATTACACATATATGTGCCATTTTGATGCGGTGTGATCAGCAGTAAAGTAGGAAGACACATGACATAAAAGTGCACAGATGTCATTTCTGAATCAAAAATTCAATTATTCTATGATGATTTTCAGTCTACATCAAGCCAATCACCTTATATAAAAACTTGTCATAAATGTGCGTATGTGTTTTTGTACCACTTCCCATGATGCCTAGGGTCTGCGAAATGACCCTAGGAGTGATTTATGACCCCTTCTAGTAGTTCAGGAAGCTCAATTCGGATTCTGCTGTTTTGGCGTTTAAATTTTGGATCGAGGTGGAGAGAGCTACAATTTATTCTAGCTAAGCAAACTGCTCTTCAGATATGGTAAAAATTAATAAGTGTTTTTAGGAATTTATAGACAAGGATTTTCAATAACTGCAAAACGTGTACACTAATTTACGACTCAAAAAGGATACTGAACTTGGACGCTGGGCTTTTCCAAGTACTTTACTGGGCTACACTTTGCTGGACTAGACTGAAATATTACATAAGGTTGAAGTAATAAGGGTGGACTTCTAAAGGAAAGATGGACCTCAATTTAAGAGAATGTTGTGCTCCGGGACACCTGGTGGCTCAGTCAGGAAAGGGTCTGACTCTCGATCTCAGCTCAGGTCACAATCTCACAGTTTCAGTTCCTAAGATCGAGCCCCACATTGGGTTTTGCACGGAGCCTGCGTAGGAGTTTGTCTCTTTCCTCTCTGCCTCTCCCCTGCTTGTGCACCCATGCACGCATGCTCTCCCTTGTCTCAAAATAAATAAACAAACATTAAAAAAAAAGAAGAAGAATGTTGTGTTCCAAAAGGCTGTCATTCTTTTGGAACCCAGCTGGAGGAAGAAAACTAATACACTCTCCCGGACACTGGGGTTAGGTACTTTTGCAGATTGATATTCATTTAACCCTCATGATAATTCTACGGGGTAGGTATTATTATGAAATCAGGAGAGGAAAACAGGTTGATCAAGGTCATCTGACAAGCAACGGGAGACTAAAGGTCCAAAAGCATGTGTGTCTGAGGACAAAGCCTGGTTTCTCCTAAGCGACACCACCTGAGGACCGTCCCCACCCCCACCCCAGCATTTTAAAAGCCAGCAACAAGGAAACACAAGCAGTTTGTATTTTTGGGGGCAACTGTGGTCTCACCAAAACCTACTACATTTCACTTGGATGCTTCCAGAACGGCTGGCATCTCATCCCGTACTGTCAGCACGTCTTTCCATCCGTCTCCTCCACTACACCGCTCGAGGGCAAGGACACCACAGCAACAAGCAGTCATCAGAGAAGGCTCGACTGGGTGCGGAGCACACGCTAGGAATTTTACATACCTGATCTCATTTCACCCCCGCGCTAAGCCTAGAAGGAAGGCACTGTTACGGCCTCCCGCGGACGGGTGAGTAAACGGAGTCTGCCCGAGGTCACAGCTTTGGGGCACGGCGGACGTGGGGTCGAACCCCGAGGCAGCCTAGCTCAAGAGTTCACCAGTGTCTCGTTCATCTGTCTCCAGGACCTACCACACCTGCAAACAAGGGACCCTTAGGACATTAAACGTCTGCTGAGTGAACATAAAACTGAATTAGAGCACTGGGCACAACAATCTGACATGTAGCGTGTGAGGGTGTTTTTAAGTCTCCTGTGTGTCTGAGTTCTACTTGGGGACGTGAGGAGCCGTTGTAGCAATGAACGCCTCCTGTCCAGTCTCCCGCAAGTACAACCAGGGTCTCTATCTGCACAGGTCTCTCACTACTGGGGAGCTGTATTTGGCAGGAACCCTTGGGTGGGGTGTGGTGGCGGATTTCACGGGTATTGATGGCAGAAGGGGGGCAGGTTAGGGCTGGGGCCATTCAGAACTTTCTGGAGGGTTACATGCTTCAAGGACTGCTGTTCGGTCTGTCCGAGCTGTGGTGAAAGCGTCATCACGAGCCTGGGGTGGGATGTGGAGGGTGATCCCTCCGGTTGCAGAATCCTTAGGGGGTTCACGTCTGGCATTCAAACACATTCCATTCAGCCAAGCGGCCGTGGCAGCAGCAGCGCCAGCTTCATTATTGGCTGGGGCTTGATCAGAAATGGACACGGGACTTTGAGCCTTTAATTAGGAACCACCTATAAGCTATAATTTGGAGGTTTCCTTGATTCATACCACTCTCGGCCAAAGTAGGCTGAACTGCTACTAAAAGTCAGGGCAATACTGACATCTAGTGGTAGTTCCAGTACATTGCCCCCATTTTATCCACTTAATAAATCTAAAACTAAGCTAAGAAAGCAGCCAACAGTAAGACTTTACGATATATCAGAATTTCTGGTTATGAAAAGCCAACACTTTTTTTGTTATTTATTTATTAGGCACTATACTGAGCCATTTATTTTTACTCACTTAATCATTATAATAACTCTAGAGGTACTATTTTTCTGAATCTAAGAAATGAACCCACAACTCATTTTTGACAAAGCAGGAAAACAGTCTCTTTAACAAATGGTGCTGGGAAAACATGACAGCGACATGCAGAAGAGTGAAACTGGACCACTTTCGTAAACCATACACAAAAATAATTCGAAATGGATCAAAGACCTAAATGTGAGACAGGAAACCATCAAAATCCTAGAGAACACAGGCGGCAACGTCTCTGACCCTGGCCGGAGCTATTTCTTATTAGATATGTTGCCGGAGGCGAAGGAAACAAAAGCACAAAAAAACTGTTGGGACCTCATCAAGATAAAAAGCTTCTGCATAGTAAGGAAGCATAGTAAAGGAAACCATCAACAAAACTAAAAGGCAGCCTCCAGAATGGGAGAAGATATTCACAAATGACATATCTGATAAAGGGTTAGTATCCAAAATCTAAAAAGAACTTCTCAAACTTACCACCCAAAAAATAAATAACCCAGTTCAGAAATGGGCAGAAGACATGAACAGATACTTTTCCAAAGAAGACATCCAGATGGCCAACAGACACATGAAAAGATGCTCAACATCACTCATCTTCAGGAAAACACAAATCAAAACCATGATGAGACAATACCTCATACCTCTCAGAGTGGCTAAAATTAACAACACAAGAAACAGCAGATGTTGGTGAGGATGTAGGGAAAAGGGACAGACACCTCTTGCACTGCTGGTGGATATGCAAACGGGTGCAGCCTCTCTGCAAAATGGTATGGAGGTTCCTCAAGAAACTAAAGATAGAAGAACTACCCTACAACCCAGCAATTGTACTATTAGGTGTTTACCCAAAGGATACAAAAATACAGATACATGCAGGTACATGCATTCTGATGTTTACAGCAGCACTGTCAACAACAGCCAAATTATGGAAGGAGCTCAAATGTCCATCAACTGGTGAATGGATAAAGAAGATGTCGTGTATCTACACAATGGGATATTACTCAGTCATCAAAAAGAATGACTCCTTCCCATTTGCAATGATGTGGATGGAGCGAGAGTGTATTATACTAAGTCAATCAAAGAAAGACAAATATCAAAGGATTTCACTCATATGTGGAAGTTTAAGAAACAAAACAGATGAACATATGGGAAGGGGTGGAAGAGAAGAGAGGGAAACAGTAAAAAGAGATTCTTAACAACAGAGAACTGAAGGTGGATGGAGGGAGGAGGGTGGGGGATGGGCTAGATGGGTGGTGGGTACTAAGGAGGGCACTTGTGATGAACACCGGGTGTTGTATGTAAGTGATCAATCACTGGATTTTACTCCTAAAACTGGTATTGCCCTGTATATGTTAACTAACTTAACTTTTTCTCTTTAAAAATGAGAAAAAAGAAAAGAGAACTGAGGCTCACAAAAATTAAGTAACTTCCTCGTGAGCGGTGGCATCCCCATTCAAAGCCAGGTGAGTCCGACCTCACCGCCTATGTCCCAAATTATAACAATTACAAATGTTATAAAAGTGTAAAAAAACTTTTCTTCAATCAGTTTACCATGAGCTGCATAAAGCATTCATTCATACATGGATTCATTAAACATTTCCTGAGGGTCTTCTGGGTCAGGGCAATAGTGGAATATATGATTATGAACCTCACCGTCTCTCTGGCCTCTGCCAAGTTCACTGAAGATTACAGCTTATTCACACAACACTCATCTAGCAAATGTGTGGGTTTTTATTTTTTAATGTTTATTTATTTTTGAGAGAGAAAGAGAGAGAGAGGAACAGAACACGAGTGGGGTAGGGGCAGAGAGAGAGAGAAGACACAGATTCCGAAGCAGGCTCCAGGCTCTGAGCTATTAGCACAGAGCCCAACGCGGGGCTTGAATCTACGAACTGTGAGATCATGACCTGAGCCGAAGTTGGACGTTCAAGTAACTGAGCCCCCCAGGCGCCCCTGCAAATGTGTTTAATACCCACTGTGTATCAGGTCCTTAGCCTGGGATGAACAAATTTCTCCTTGTGCTTATGAAGCTTGTTATCTAAGAGTGAGACAGAAAAATATACTGGCAAATATAATGGGTCTTCTTTAGTGATATGACTGGGGAGAAGCACAGTGTAACCTGACGGCAGAGAGGTAGGGTCTTCAAATGAGTGGTGGGAGGAAATCAGAAGAGGTTTCGAAATGCATGAATCATAATGAAACCGAATTCCTTTCCTATGTTAATTCTAGCTCAAATTAAGCCATACTTCTCAAAATAATTAAGCAATGACCTGGTTTAATTTCAAATCATAGGGGGGATGAAAAACTCTTTAAAGAGAAAACCAAATATTGTAGGAAATATACCAAGCATCGTTATAAACATTCCAGGTCTGATTAGATTCTAAATGCAAATGTCAGCCAATTACCAAGTATTTACCAGACAGGAGCTTAGAAAACCAGGAAAAGTCATTCTTAACTTATTCAGGATACGAGTACTTTTTAACCATCTAAAATGACCCCCCAAAAAAATGCTAACGTATATCCAAATAATGATAAGGTGTCAAATTCTTACCAGTGATTAAATCTGACGGTATTCGATCAGTCAAGAAGTCAACGACAAGTATTCGACTCGTTGCAAATATCACCCCTCCCTGCGTGTAGACCTCATAGCGACTGTTACTTGTGATTTCATTTGTGACGCGGCGAGGGAGATGTTCCACTCCTTCGATCTTCAGCTGATTGATAAAATACTCCTACGGCAAATCAAATTTGATCAGTAGGCTGTTTTAACACAAGGGCAGTTTTTACTAGGTGGCAAAGTCTTTGTATTTATTATGTTTTTTTAGTGTTTATTTCTGAGAGAGAGAGAGAGAGAGAGAGAGAGACAGCATGAGCAGGGGAGGGTCATAGAGAGAGGGAGACACAGAATCTGAAACAGGCTCCAGGCTCTGAGCTGGCAGTCAGCACAGAGCCCGATGCCAGGCTCGGACCCATGAACCGTGAGATCGTGACCTGAACCTAAGTCGGACGCTTAACTGACTGAGCCACCCAGGAGCCCCAAGGTCTTTGTATTTAAAACAAGAGATAAGGAACTTCAGGAATATACAAACCAAGCTACTACTTGAGGTGATCAACCAGTCATCGACATCTAACCAGGCTTTTATTTTTGTTTTGTTTTCGGGTTTGCTCTAAAGGATCATTGCACTTGAATCATGAGCACTTTAATAACAGTAACCAAAACTTTAAAAGCCCTCAGTTAAAAGACTGCTGCTAGCTCGAAAATCCTTCCCATCAGAGGGGCGCCTGGGTGGCTTAGTCGGTTAAGCGTCCGACTTTCGCTTAGGTCATGATCTCGCGGTTCGTGGGTTCGAGCCCCGCGTCGGGC